GTGTTCTAAGCCCGCGTTTGTTTTGTGGAATTTTGAGAAATGCAATGAAAAATTGGAGGCGGAAGGTGGAAACTTACAGTTTCGACTTGGGGGATGGCCTGCCTCCATTGCTTGACCTGCGATTTTCTGATGATATTCATTTGTTCGGATCTTCGTCACGTACTTTGCTCCATATACTAGATGAGCTCATTAATTGTTTAGCCAACGTCGGTCTACATTTGAATGCCTCAAAAACGGTCTTTATGACCACTGAAGCTCAGCCCCCGCCCTTACTGACAACAAAGCATGGTGCTCAAACCAAAGTCCTGGAGCCAGCTCTTGGTCATAAATGGCTTGGGTGCATATTGACGGCCAAAGGGTCCCAAAATTCAGGAACCGACAGCGACCACCACCTTGCAGCTGCCACACGGGCATTCCATGCAAGCAAGGAAGTTTTGTGTGGCAGGAAGGTTTCGGTTTCCGCGCGCAAAAAGTTTCGCTTCTTCAATGTCGTGGTGACCACTGTGGTTTCTTTCGGTGCTGGGCCACGAGCGGTACATATGTCAGACTTTGCCAAACTAAATTTTCACTTTTGGAAACTGGCACGTTTCGTGGTAGGGCCACCTGCGGGTGTTGACTGGACCCACCCTTGGCACCAGATATTAGCTTTGTGGGATGAACGTGTTGACGTTCGTGTTTCAATCCGGAGCGCGTCCGTGGAGAAGGGTGGCACTGCAACAACACACTGGAATTTTGCAAAGTACATGGCGAATTTGCCGGGCAACAGGCGGGCAAAGATACAGGTCTCACTCACTCGCTTTGCCGAAGCCAGCCGCAATTTCATTGCCGGCGGCCATGCTAGTTCGAGATATCTACACAAAAACCCTCCCCCTCGCACATTCGCGCATAATGTACCAGGTGGGTGACGGGTTGTAGAGCAGGCAATTGCCTGCGGCCCCGCCAAAACCCGCATGCGCTTTCAATCAGTCAGCATGGGACAGACCCATACAGTCATGCGTCATTTTTTCACTTCGACGAACAACTGCTTCCACAACCACAAGCTGCGAAACCCATGGAAAAAGGGAGGAACATTAAGGCAAATTTTTTGTTAGCACGGGAACACGAATGTTGGCCGGGCAGTGGGAAACGCTATATGTATATAACTTATTTTCATACACGCATGTATGGCTGCAAACAACCGGGCCAGAGCACGACATCCCTCCTGACTTGTGAACGGCCACAAAAAAAGGATCCTTCAAAGTCGTTCATGGAATGCCGCTTTCAGAGGAAATCAGAGCAATTTCTTGCCTGGGGCAGCATCAGGTTGACATTATCAAGGTGGCCAAATGAGGTAGGTTCAACAATGATCTGGGTTGGCTTCATTTGTTGAGCCACAGCGGTCCTGCTCCCATGTGGTCCCTACGTCCGCTACGTCCGCTACATCCATGGCGACCACGTCCTCGGCGTCCGCTACGTCCTTTATGTCCCCGACGTCCCGACGTCAATGTCGTGCTCCCTACGTCTATTCCCCTGGCGTCCTCCACGTCTTCGACGTCCCAATTCCGTTGTTTGTCCACAGGCTGTGCTCTGTTGACAGGGGTTGCCCGGCATTGTCATATCACGTCAATTCGTCAATTCACGTCAGTTCACATCACATGCAAACTTTTTGTTTCCCCCAGAGCAGAAAAACGAACTATGTACAAGGGTTTAAGTTTTCATGTCACGCCATGCCCATGTACTACAAGCAAACACCGGCATCCAAACTGGAACAAAATGAGGCGGACCCATCGACCGTGAGCCAGCTCGCGCTGTATCGGGAAAACGGCGTCACACAACATTCGGGCGATGTTTCTTTCAACACGGACTAAAGTATCGTGACGTGTTGGGCAACAGCGCCATTGAACACGCTTGGACTTTGGGGCGACAACCAGTTGTGAGAATTGCGGAAAGGTTGCGGGCGCTTGAGGAACAAGCTGCCAAAAAGTGCTTGCACGCCTTGGCTGGTTTGGTGCCATTGGCTAACGATGCAGTCTACAGTGGTTTTCCCACGCCGCTGTGACCTGGGTGTTGCCGGCAGACCGGCGGCGGTTGGACCTCGTCCTTTACGGCACCTCGCGCCTCGGCGAGGCCCTTTTCTGCGATCGCCCTCGTGTCCGTTCTGCAAGCTGACGGGCGCCCACATCGTGGCGCCGCTTCCAATGACGAGCGCGTCCTCCACATGCGCAGGGCGGCAAGGAGGCTCGGTACCCGAACCCACGCGACCGGGGCCACAATGCCTGGTCGTCCTCGCCTGCGAGATTGGCGGCCGGGAGGGGACGCGGAGTGCCTCGCCTACGTTCGGGCCCTGGTCCCGCCGCTGCTGGGGGCTGTTGGGCTGTGCTCAGCAGCGGGCGGTGGGATCCACGCGCTTCCGTGGCGCGCCCCTTCACAGCCCGATGATACGTCTAATTCCCGGAATGAACTGGTGGTCTGATTTTTTCGTGACCCGGCGGGTTCACAATGGAGCAGTGCGAACAATGGCTGCAGTGCGAACTGTATACTAGTAGGAAAGTCCATACCTTTTTCCCAGACGCCAGGGACATTTTATTAATATGATTTTTTCTCGCACCGAACCTAAGTCACAGGATTCCAAAAAAATCGCCAAAAAATTAGAGGACATGCAATTCCAATGTTGACGCAGGAAAGAAATAAGAGACATGGAAAAAAATCATTAGGAATTCCTAGAAGGATGGAATGGTTCAGCACAGGATTTCAAAACAGTTTCATTGCCCCTCCTGGAACAATAGAGTAAGGTCTTACCAAGGAATTCATTACATTGGTTGGTCTAGAGTCTAGCGAGGATGTTTTATTTTTGAATCCTGTGCCGACGCAAGACGTGACACATACTCAAAAGAGACCAAGAGCTGCACACAGAATTATTCTCCCGATGACACACGTACACCCAGCAGGTTTCTTTTCTATACGGGGGAACGCGCCATGTTTTTGGAGACGTCGTCATGTCATGTCTTCCAGTGCCGGCGTTTGCCAACTGCCAACTGCCTTGCCACGAGAGCTGCATCCAGATCAGCATGTTGATGGTCAAGCCCACGTCTTCCGGGCTTCCATGTTTGCTTGGGGGCCTCCAGGTCCATCACTCGAATAGGATGTCTAGAGTTTCTATTTGTTGGACGCTTTGTACCTTAGCTCTTATGTATTTATGTTCACACACAAACATAATCACATACACACATAAACCTGGCCCGATTCAGAGGAATCGTAAAAAGCACTCGACCTTTAGCAGAGACTCGACCGTCTAGACCCGGACAGCGCGAAAAAAACAGGCCTGGTCACTTTGAGGAAGGGCAGGGACACCCCTCAACCAGGACTTTAATATGCCAGGATGTTTGTTACACATGAGCTTCTTCAACCTTTGTACTAGGATTCCATAAAACAGGTTGACGCAGGATTCCATAAATGCTCAAAACCCTTAAATTTTTTTGGTTTCCAACCTTGGCACGCAACAAAGAATAAGGAAATGACCTCAGCTCGAAAGGATTTTATATAATCCTGCGTCAAACCTTTAGCGTTCCTTCCTACTAGTATAACTGTGTACAATTGGGAGCCTTGCCCTAGCGCCATGCCGCTCATCCAGTGAGAGGAGGCCATCCCTTCGATGAGACTTGTCATGAGCGAGAGCGGGCACGCATGACTCAACGTCATCGGCGGACATCTCTCCGCACACGTGCCACCACCAAAAGCGCAATTGTAACTGGTAACGAAACTGCAGTTTCGAGGCAAGACTCTTCAAAATCCCAGAGCGGCAATAACTTTTTTTACCTGCTGCGCAGTGATCATGATGACCACCCAGGCATCAAAACACGCCAGGCGAACACTGGTCCGACCCCCAAACTAGAAAAGGAACCCTTCGCTTTGCACTCGGACTGGGTTTTTCCACGCGAACGTGACCTCCGTAGATGTCCATAAATGGACATTTTCTGTGCTAACACATGTGAACACCATCGTGCAACCCATGTCAACTACTATGATTTTATGTTAATTCCTATCAATTCCCTTACGCCATCTTGGCAGGTAGAACGTAGTGTTTTGAGGTTATGTTGGAATTTCCAGGTCGAAGTTGAAATAGGGAAATGTACGTGACTTGCATCAGAGTAGGTGCATCCTGCAGACGTTTCAGTTCTTAAATGGCCAGACTTTGGGTACGTCCCTTTCACTGTGGAAACGTCAGCCGCTCCACAGTAAAACACATGCTTTACAACATTGAGAACTCAAGGTTTCTACTTGCAGTGGGGGCTCCAAATTTCTCAATAGGCATTCCTTTGGCATCATGGAGAGCAGTGATGATGAAGATGATTGGTGTCCCAAGACCCAAGTCGGGCTTCAGGAGTGTGAGATGCTGTGGTTTTGGTGCCTGAGTTGGTCATGTGTCGGCAGGATCTCATTCATGGCCCTTCTCGCGCCAAGATGCCTCTGATCAGCCAATTTGATGAAGGCAATGGCCAGAATGCCAAGGCGATTGGCCTTACGAACTTCACCTGTTTCATTTGAACGGTGGCTTTGGGCAGACCAGGTTGAGAAGAACGCCCCGCTGCCAAACCAACAGCGCCGAACTTGGAAATGAGCCGGCTGGAATGTGCACGAACTGGTTCGCCCGAGGCTCGTGGAACCTGTGTGGTGCTCGGTGGGCTTGAAACAACATCGAGCACGCGCATGCTGCTGACTACAAAGCTGCCGCGTTTCCAATCGAAGTGCGTGAAATCGGGCCAACGCGAACCAAACCTAATCCAGACTCGGATCATACATGGCACTGGGCACACAGCCCGTCAAATGACAAATGATTTCCCGCATGCATGATGCCTTCAAGATCCAAAACCACCGATTGAACCTATTTTGGATTGAATTATCTAGTTTTTTTTCAGAACTACGTTGCACAGGATCACAAAGGTGTTTGCCATCAAAATTGAACGTTCTGTATTGTAGAACGTTTTGCTTGGATTGATTGACTTTCTGTCCGCGTGCCGCTTATGGACATGGTCGGTTCCAGAAACTTGGCTGAACATGAGCCTCGCAAAACGGGACATTGGTAAGAAAAAGAGGCGGCAACATTGCAAAGTCGTTGCAGATTTCTGTGCATTTGGGGATTGAATTCGGGTTGCCACCGAGGTGACTTCCACGTTCAGGATAATGAACTTGAATCTCACATTGTTGATGCACCACGCAATGTGAAGGCACGCGCCAAATCGTTCGCAACTTTGGATTAACAAGCTCATGCGCGCGGCGCGAAAGCATGTACATGCTAAAAGGCCAACTGGAGTGTGGGTGAGGACTGTCGTGCCAATTGGATGAGTAATCATAGTATTTGGTCCTTCCTTTTTGCTTGTGCAATTGCGACAGGCCCGAGCTGAACAGGAGGCAAAGTGGGCTGGAGACTACGATGGCCGACAGCACTGGTCTTTGCGGGAAGCGTGCCCGCTAGTAACATCATTTGACAGTGAGTTACAGTATATTTAATAATCAATTATGTCCAACCTTGCTGGTGAGGTATTTGAAACATCGGGCTCGATTGCAAGGGGCGCAGCGTGATTTGTATCGATACTTTGTGGAAGAGGTTTTCGAGAGCCGGCCGTGTCAGCAAACATGATCCAAGATCAAAAGAGAATTGCTGTGCATTTTGCGTTTGTTTTCAGTCAGTTGTCTCCCGAAGCACTGCCCTCAGCAGCTGTGCGCAGCTGCTTCTTTTGCTTTTCCACTACTTTACCTGAGGAGTGAAGTTGCTGTTGGATGCCCACTTCTTGTCGCAGTCGTCCTGCCTTAAGGTCGGGATCCTGAGAAAACATGTGGGGTTCTTCTCCTGTGTTTTGTGCCAAGGACCTGGACCTTTCAATCCTGGAGCGCGTGGCGGACTTTGGCTTTGCCCAAGGTCCTGCAGTGGGGTTTCTGGCGGGCTGGCGCAAGCCCAAACCCACCTCAAATCCACACATCAGGCGGGTTCATTCCAGCTGCCTGTCGCCCCCGTGCATAAGCTTGGCAGAAAGGAGGAAGGTGCAGCACTCATTGGGGTCATAAGGCGTAGATCAGTTCATCAGAATCAATGCTTCATTTGCAACTCCTGCAGTTTCCTGGAAGCTGTCGATGTGCCAGCGCTGGATCATTTGTCATTTTTCACGGTTCACCTTGACATTTCGTAATCTTTGGCAGGTTCATGGCTCGCAAGCGGCCGTTATTGCCTTTTGAGGTTGCTGCAGGTGACTGGGATTGCGTGACGATATCCAGGCCAGATGCGGCTGTGCGTGGGTTCTGGGCAAGCCCTTGGTGTATGGATGCTTCGGACCACGGTGCCACATGTTTTTTAGCAGGACGCTGGACGTTGATTGAATAGAGAACAATCTTGCACACGCAAACACTCTGCACGAAAATCATGATGTAGGCCGGCTCAAAACCGTAGGAAAAAACACATCGACAGATACCATGGCCAAGATTAAATGCAAATGACGCTAATGTGTGTTGCTTCGGCAGTAAGTTTCCAAAACGGACTTGAGCGGACCACCCGACTGGCTCTGCTGCTGCTAAGCAGAGAATGCAATCTGTGGAAGAGGAGTGCAGCACGAGTGGTTTGTCACGATGGCCGCCTACACCGCACTGGACGCAGATTAGAAATGCTTCACAAAAAATTTGTTTTGGAGCTTTGGCTAAGTGGGTGCATGCAGCCACGAGCCATGAGTTCATGCTGCAAGAATCAACAAGTGAGATTTGCACATCCGACGGTCAGATTGTTTGCAGGGGTGGTGCAGACGTGACCAGGGGACTCAATACTGTGATATTTGTTCAATGTTTCCATTCGGTTCATTGGAGATGTCGGTTGGTGTCCTGATGCCCAAGGATCAAGCCTATGACTCATCAGTATCTGACAGTGAGTTCTACGCAGATGCCGTTTCTTGGACAAATGGGGTGCTGTATATGTTACGGAATGCGTTGTGGGGTGCACGTTGTGTGGTTGGTGTTGCTCTGCAGGTGAGGCCGCTGGTTGCTTCACTGACTGGAGCGGAGGCGCATGCTGACAGTTGCTGACACAACCAGGAATCATCGGGTGGAGAGGGACTGTCCTGCTTTTTGTGCAAAGCTAACAGTGATGGCGCGAGGGATTCCCCAGCCGCGTGATGAGGGTTGTGTATTTCACGCCCCGATTTGTTGATGATTGATTGAGTCAAGGCCACCATCATTTGCTACGGCCAGACTGGCACGGGCAAAACTCACACATTCAACGCATGCTGGAAGCGCATTGGAAACGACCTTGCGGGGTGCACGATTTCCGTGACTTTCTTTGAAATCCACGGAAAAAAGTGCCCCCTGGCTGCAGCCGATCACACGGTTAAAGTATCCGACAGTTGAATATCCTTTGTAAAGCTAGGTTCTGGCTCAGATCAGCTGGTTCCGGTAATAGCGCAAACTTTCCATTCCATGCACTCGAGTGACAATATATAGTGATGATGTCAGTCTGCCAGCTTGCCTTCTATGATTTCATTCACGTCTGTTCAGAAATCGTGACGTGCTGCCACAATGTCAAAATGAACCTGGACAGAATGAAGCCACGTTCACGTTCCTATGCATTTCTTGTAGCTCTTGTCACCAATTATTTGAGGCTACGACCTGCTGCAGCAGCGTAAAGAAGTGACTCTGCGGGCAGATGGGGATGAACGTGTTCATGTAAGGCACATTGTGCATTGCTTCGGATGACTTCTCAAAATAGTTCCTAGTCAAATTTTCGCAAAGAGATGGAGTACACCCAAATACAACAAATTTGTTGTTTCCAGATGGATGCACTTGCACAAGATTGATCTTTGACTGTCAACCAGGATGTGCAGACGGAAGGTGTATCAAAGACTTCTTGTGGTTTAGCCGGAGATCAATTGAAAAAGCTCAATCTTGCCTCAGGGGCGCTACAACTCTGACAGCTGCAGCCACAGATGTCGCCAGTCTCTTGGAAGAAGCGCTGTTGCTGCGCCGCTCTGAATCTACGGAGGGGAACCCTTTGTCTTCGAGAAGCCACGCATCTTGCAAGGAACAGCTTGTTGCAGGTCAAAATCACATGGCACACGAGCCTCAAGAGTTGGAGAAGCAATCTTTCAAAATCACTTTCCCAGTATAATATTGTGCCAAACTCTTCCGAGGCAGTTTGCGTCCTTTCGATTGAGGGTGGTGGCAGCATCAGATTTGTAGACCTGGCTGGGTCTGAGCGAAACTATGAGACGAGATTCATGACAGCGCAGCAGCACAGGGATTTTGCTGAGATCAACAAGTCTCTCATGGCATTAAAGGTGGGGAGCCAGCTTACATATTGCTTTGCAGACATGCTTGCTGTTGACACTCTGCAGACTTGTGAGCATCACTGCCGCTAGGAGTGTTTTCGTGCTCATGGGCAGCTCGTGAGACAGAAGCAGACCAGGGTCCCATATCGTGCCAGCAACCTCACACAGGCGGTGTGAAAACCATTGTTTTTCTGATCAATCCAGCAAGACCTGATTCGCAGGTGTTGCGTTCCTGCTTCACCCCGGAGCACAGGAGGGGACATGAGGCTGCAACTTCCATCAACATTTCTTGGCTTGTCAAGGGAACTGCCCCGCACTTCAAATGGTCTCTTGCTTCAGGACATTGATCTTGGCAACCATCTCACCCACTGCGACAGATTTGCTGCACTCCACCAACTCCCTACTGCAAGTGACACAAATGTGCGAGTCTCAGCCTCCATAAGTGTGCGCGTGTGGTGTGAGATTGTGGTGTAATGGCAATGGAATGAGGCAGTCTTCGTTAGTGCTATGCACTGTGCGCCGTTCATTTGTGTCGTGCGGTCTGCGAGTGAAGAGAGGAGACATCGTTAGCGCTCGGAGTGCTGTGTGGAATTGCCATTGGTATCTTTCTCTGCTTCTACTCCCATTTGGGAATGGACCAACGAGGAGGTCAACATGTGCCTTTGAGTGGAACAGGAGCTTCCTGCTGCATAGACAGTGTAGTCTTGATGCTGCTCCTTCACTTTTAAGGCTCACCTAGAGCATTTCTGTCTGGAAGAGTAGTAGGCAGGTGTTGATCACAGGATGTGAGTGGCGAAAGTGCTGGCGTTTTTTCTCAGTGCAGCGGCAGCACTCCCACATTTGATGTCAACATGCTACTAGAATGACATCAGGGAGCATGCCTGTTTAGTCTACCGATGGCAAGACTGAACGGTATTTCAGGTATATAAGTGACAAGGAGAAAGGCTCTCGCTCGCCATGAGTGAACTGTTTTGTTGTGCAATCTTAACCCAATTCCAACTCATTCGGGTGACAAGATGCCATAAGCATGTTTTCTTGTTTGATTCCTGGAGCAGATGCACAGATATATATATATATATATATTTATTGTTTGTTTTTTACTTCAATATAACATACCGATACTCATCCAAGGTGGATTAGAACGGTGAACAACGGCCTCTTCAAGTACCTGGTGCTGCCGCCGAAGATCACAGGTGAGATGCTGCTGCATCTCTCTTCCCAGGCACACCACACCTATCGGTCATCATTGCAATTTGGAGTACTCTAATTTAAGCCACACCGCGATTTGTAAGATTCACAGGTTTACCAAAGCAAGTGCCCCCAGTGCCTGCTTCAGGCCTTGTCAGAGCTCTTTGACATGAGCCTTCGTGCTGCTCGTGGTGTTGGCGAGGGCGAGGCTTGTGATTTTGTCTGATGTTCATTGAAGGTGTTAGCGTGGACATGCAGCACAGCAAATGGCGGTTGCTATTACAACATCGGCCCCGTGAGCTACAGGCCTGGAATGAGGCTCTTGCAAAGGATGTGGGCATTCGTGTGGGGCGGATGCTGTTCGCTGCGGTGCGGAAGGAGGCAATGCGCTGGCCTTCAACGGACCGAAGTGATGCGCGCCCGCGCGCGTACGCGCGCTGTGTGTGTGTGTGTTTGTGTGTGGAACCCTTGGAATCACAGGGATCCCGTTGGTTTTCCAAGCAGGGGGTCCAGGCAGTTGTGAGTTGTCCCTGGACCAACGAAGACGGACTCACAACTGGTGAAGCGAGAAGGGACGCCTTCTCGTGTACCTGCATTAATAAACTGTTGATTGATTGTTGTGGTCCCCTGGTTTGTTTTATGGTGGTTCATGTGCCTGATGTTGTTGCAGGAGGTGTTTAGGCCCGTTTAGGCCTTCAGGCCGCCAAACCTGTAGCGAGGGCCTTCAACCTGGCTGCGATGGCCTCCAACTACTAGCGATGGCCTCTAACCTTGGCTGTCTTGCAGCTTCTTGTCACCAACCTACTAGCGATGGCCCCCCAACCTGCTTTTGATGGCCTTTAACCTGAGAGTGATGACCTCCAACTTTGGCTGTTTTGCAGTTACATGTCACCAACCTACTAGCACTGGCCCCCAACCTGCTTTGTTTTCCCTGGACTCTCAGGAATATGGGCACCTAGGTTGGCAAGTGGCAGTCAGTACGCCGTATCTCGAGTGTGTCTGGCTTCACGCCAGCCCAGGGTGAACAGGAGGAGTGTCCCCTGTGGCCCCGTTGAACGGGGGTTTGTCCATGTTCCCTGGCTTGGGAACCTACGTGTCCGGAGCGGACAGCAGGAGGTTTAAGCCAAAGTATGCCAAAGTTATTTGCCAAGACTTGCTGAATTATTGAATTTGAGTAGGCCGCTTTCGACCAAGCCAATAGGTGACCATAGCCGTCAAAGCTGCCAGCCAGTTTGCACGGCGTAGCGTGGCCGCAGCGGCGCCCAGTATAGGCTCTGCTGGAGCCTTTCTTCCCTTTCCTCCCCTTTCCGTCTGACCTCTTCCTTCTTTTTGCTCTTTGGGGTGTCCCCAGGTGCACCCCTCTCCCTGCTGTGTCCCTGGATGCCTATTTCGTAGCTGGGAACACCTGTCTCCTTTCCCCTTCTTTCCCCTTCTTTCCATCTTTTTGTCTTTCTCTTTCTCTTTCTCTTTCTCTTTCTCTCTCTCTCTCTCTCTCCCTTCTTTTCCCCCTTTCTTTCTCGCTTGGGTGTCCCTGGATGCTTCCGTCATAGCTGGGAACCCCTCTCATCTTGTCTTGGTATGTCCTTGGACGCTTGAGTCGTAGCTGGGAACACCATCTGTTCCTTTCCTTTTCTTTCCTCTTTCATTTACAACAGGTGTTTTAATGAGGTTCGGCTTTTAATCGGTTTGTTCCCTTTCATTTGATTCCCTCTTCATTGGCCCCCGCAGAATTCTTTTCCTTCTTTTCTTTCACGTCCTTCTGTCTTCATGTTTCTTCATCCTCATCCTTTTCTTCTCTTGCGCGCACCTTTGCCCGGACCTTAGCTTGTGCACATACACGCACGTATGCCCCACATCAAACTAGGTTCAGGTGCCCCAGGTCTGTTACAATGAGGTTTGGTGCATTGGTTGTCCCTCTTCACTTGGTTTCCCTTCATCGGCAACGACCTACACTCTTTTGTCCGTCTCGTCTCTTTCATGTTCATCTGTGCCTTTTGCGCGCGCATGTGCTCACATTGCCCCCTTTCCGGGCAGGAAGGGGTGCCTCCTTTCCGTTGCCTCTCTTGTGGGAGGCGTGTGTGTGGAACCCTCGGAATCACAGGAACCCGTTACTCACAACTGGTGAAGCGAGAAGGGACGCCTTCTCGTGTACTTGCGTTAATAAACTGTTGATTGGTTGCTGTGGTCCCCTGGTTTGTTTTATGGTGGTTCATGTGCCTGATGTTGTTCCAGGAAGTGTTTAGGTCTTCAGGTAGGCCAACCTATAGCGAGGGCCTTCAACCTGGTTGCGATGGCCTCCAACTAGCGATGGCCTCTAACCTTGGCTATCTTGCAGTTTCTTGTCGCCAACCTTCGATGTTCTGCTTGCGTTTCGTGTTTTGAGCCTTGTTGGGCTCCAACCTTGTAGTGAGGGCCTCAAACCTTGTTGTGATGGCCTCCACCCTACTAGTTCTGGCCTCCAGCCTTGTGAGCCTTGCTGCTGTGAGTCTTGTTTCACCTACTAGCAACCGACTTTCTCCGTTCTACTGTATACTCAAGATTCTTAGGCAGCCGTGTGGCCCGACACATTCAGTACCGTACGATTTCTTGGCCTTCGCGCCAGCCCGGGGTGAGCCGGAAGAGTGCCCCCCTGCACCCTTGCTGACCAAAGGGTTTGTCTTCTTCCCCCTTGCGGCGCAGGGAGTTCGTAGCGGACGAAGGAGCCCTTGCGCAAACGTCAATTAAGACCTTGAGCAGGCAGCCTTTGGCACGCCATTCTGGCATGGCGTGAGTAGGCTGCAGCAGCCGTAGTACGCGAACTTGAATTCTTCCCACACCTCTCTCCCTCTCCTTCTCTCTTCTTCCTTTGGAAAAATTTTGACCCGCCTGGATGTAACACCAAAGCATACCCCTTCTTTCCACGGAGTGTGTCCCTGCCTGTGTCGTAGCTGGGAGCACCTCTCCCCACCTTCCCCGTCTTTCCCTCCCCTCCCCCCTTTCTCTTTTCTTTCTTTCCTTCTCGGGTGTTCCGTCATAGCTGCGACCCCTCTCACTTTGTTAGGTGTGTCCCTGGATGCTGGTCCGGCCGCTCATCGATTTGTCCCCTTTCATTTGGTTCCCTCTTCAATGGCCGTTGCGCACACTGTTTCCTTCGTTTCTTTCATGTCCTCTCTGTCTTCATGTCCTGTCATCTTCACCCTTTTCTTCTCTCGCGCGCATGCACGTACGAGCGTACTCCTTCACCAAACAAGGTTCAGGCGCCCCAGGTTTGTTTTATATAATGAGGTATGATTCATTGGTTGTCCCTCTTCACTAGGTTTTTGCCTTCAGTGGCAACTACACGCATTTTTTTTTCTGTCTTGTCTCGCTCATGTCGCTCATCGTTCATATGTCTTGCGCGCGTGTGCTCGCAAACCCCCTGTCCGGGCAGGATGGGGGTGCCTCCTTTCCGGGCAAGACGGAAGCCACGCATGTCTTGTGTGGGACGCTTGGAGTCACAGGAGGCCTTTTGTTGGTTGGTCTTCAAGGCCATTTGGGTCTTAGAGGAGCGGTGGCCAACGAAGACCTCCTCTGAAACCTGTATAAACGTACTTGCCAACTGGTTGCCTGTTGTTCTCGCTGTGGTTTGCTTCCATGGTGGTTCGTGTGGTTCTGCTACTGAATGAAACTTGCGTTAGGTGTTTTGAGTCTTGTTGGGCTCCAACCTTGTAGTGAGGGCCTCCTACCTTGCCACAATGACCTCCACGCTACTAGCGTTTTAGTTTTGCGTTTTGCGTTTTGAGTCTTGTGGCCCCTAACCTTGTAGCGAGGGCCTCCAACCTTGTTGTGATGGCCCATGAAGCCAACCTACTAGTGATGGCCCCCAACCTGTTGCGACCACCTCCTACCGACCTAGATGCGCCAGCCTCCAACCTAAGAGCGATGGCCTCCAACCTACTTGTTCCGTTCTACTCACGATCTTTTTTCCTAGGCAGCCGTGTGGCATCAGCCGTTCAGTACTGTACGACTTTTTCCCGCGTGTGCGCGTGTGCGTGTCGTGTGCGCGTGCGTGCCTTCATGAACTTGACGTACCAAAGTTGAAGTGCCAACATGGCCCGAAAAAAATTCATTCAATCATTCAATTGACGCCCGAAGCTAAAGTACGTTGTGAACATATATATATATATTTACTGTATATAACATATATATATATATATTATTTTTTTTTAAATCTCTCTCTCTCTCTCTTTCTCTCCCTGCAGCTTTGGCCTCCACAGGACAATTGGTTAATTTGTCGGCGTGAAGAGCGTGAACTTGAGGAAAGTTTGGGTTTGCCACCTGAATCTGAGCCTTGCAACCGTATTAGGCAGTTGTTTTTTTACTTCCCGGATGCCACAGCCTTGCCCTTGCAGAAACTTAGAGAACAAAGCACAGAGAAATGCAACTGGTAAGTGCATGTAGAGGTCCTTTTCCGAGCTTGGATCCCACGTCGCCATTAGTCTCCTGTTCGCTTTTACTTTTCCTTCGGAATGCCATGAGTGAAGGGACTGAAGGGATCATTGCGGATTTTCTCAATCAGTTTGTTCAGTCCACCACTAGTCACTAGCCACTGGCCGCCACTGCTCCTGTCCAAGGAGCGTCACTGTGAGTTCTTCTTCTGGGGTGAGACGGTGCCAAGGAACAGGACCGATGGCCCAGACTGAGGCGGTGCGGACGTCTGGATTTGACCGTGTGCACTTGAGCCAAAGTGCCAAGCTTGAGCCAAAGCTCAGTTTGTACAAAGAGATTTGCACGAAGCTCAGTTTAGCACTTTGTAATTTTTTGGTGCAGCAGAAGGAATTCCAAAGTGACTCTTTCGCAATCTTGGATTCATGCGGACGTCGTGTGCTTCGGTTCAAAGATCGGGGGCGAGCAATGGCACCACTGGGTGCGGGGTTGTTTTGCTCCCGGCTGTTAGGCAGGCCCAACCGCAAAACCAGCTCAAGTGCGTGAGCATTTGGGCTCAAGCAAAGTGAGAACAAGGGACTTGCCACAAGGCAAAATGATCAACATAGATGTGCTTTGGTCATGGGCGTGCGCATAGCCACCTTCGCAGCGAGCTTGGCGGCGTTAGCGGGTGCAAAGGCCAGCGTGAGTCTCACGCTGGTCACTAATTTTTGTGCACAATTTGCAAGCCTAACCTGTCAGCAGCCAGGTTCAAAATGCATGCAGGGGAGCTCGCAGGGATGGTATCCAAACCTTGGATGACAGGTCTTCAGATCTCCAGTACTTATTCTATTGGTGGCTGTCGGAACCTATGTGGGAGGTGACTTGAAAAGACAGTGGTTTTTTAAATGCACCACTCGCGCCAAACGCCAAACGCCAAAAGGAAGGAAGCGTAGAAACTGGTTCTTCCTTTTGAGCACCGCAGTGGGCATCAACGATCCAGAAACAAAGGGCTTCTTCATCATAGGCTGTCAAGGCCGCGTTTACAGAGCCCTGCATCAAGATAGATGCTTTTGAGGCGCGCTTTGTTTGGCGCTTCGCTGCTGGGCGATGTACCACAGAGCTTCGTCGTGGCGGCTTTCCCACCTCTCCCTTGGCTCAGTGACCTGGCGCTGGAAAGAGCCAAGTGCCCGAATCACATTCATGAGGGCTCCAGTGCAAAACTGATGAAGAGGCTGGAACAAAAGGCTGTAATTGCAAAGAATAAACGCTTGGGACCCCAAGCTGCTTAGATGTCCAGTTCCAGTCAATAGCGAAGCTCTTCGGCTTTGAAGGACCCAGAACCCTGGGTTTCTACTGTAAACACTTTAATTGACTGACTCCATCTCTGTCTCTCTATCTCTCTGTTTGTCTCTGGGTGTTCAGGCACACGGAACTGATGCAAGCAAATCCAGCGCTCTCACTGGGTTCATATCAGCAGCTCTCATTCTCAAGCTAGGCCCAGTGCTTTTGAAACAGTGCTGCTGCCCAGGTAGAGGCAGCAGAGCTGGCCTTCCGCCAGGGCACGCCGTACCTGCTGGTGTGTGGTGGTGAGTTGGTCCGTGATGTCCTTGGAGCAAAGCTTGGCGCAGACTTAGCGAGGCCACAAGAGGAACTGTCAAAGACAGAAGTCTCAGAAGCACAGTACTGCTTGGATTGAGCCGCCTAAGTTGCCGCCTGGATCAGGCATGGCGGCATGCTGGCATTCTTCTCCAGTGGCCACTTCAAGCAGCTCAGTGATTTTGCACCCATTTCATCCACTTTGCCTTCACCTTCGTCACCCTCACCTTTCGATGGGATCGATTTGGCCGCATTGCAGCCGGTGCTGAAACTGGATAGGGTGCGAAGTAAGAGCATCGAATGGCACATTTTCTCGACGTAAAAACAGAATATATAGATTTACCTCATAAATAATGTCATATGTCATGTTTGGGACCGCGATGCTGATCAGGAGGCGCTTGACACATTGTCCAACTTCACGACCTTTGTACGACATTTGGAGAGGCAAGGCCTGATGCATAGGTACAATCGAGGCCGGGCAGCCATGTCGTTTTTACATTCTGCCACAAAACCTGTTGTTTAAACAAATGCACAAGTTGCCGCGGTCAGAGAGCCCAGCTTTGTCCGATTTTATCACACGATCGGGTTCCTTGCACTACTTGTAATGTGGCTTTGCGGAACTGGATGACATGTGGTGTAGATTTGATATTAGTGTGACGAGTCTTGACCAAAGGGTGCCATGTACTGGCTGAAGTTGCGTGTGAAATCGTGTAACATTGGTTGACTTTCTTGGTAGATGCCGCCGTGGATGTGGTGATTGTGACCTCCAAGTATCATGTGCGGCGAGTCTGGGCTCTTGCGACAGTTGTGCTTGGATCTCAAGGTCTCTCTTTCCACATTGCTGAAGCGAGACTTGGATTGTGATCATAGGATTAGCCATAGAAGTTTGCGGACAATGTTTGGCGTCGCCTCTGGCAGTTTTACATTACTCAATGGGCTGGGATTCACCCTGTCTGTTTGAACGTGTTTGAACTGTTTGGGCTTGGAACAGGTCCCTTGGACCAAATTGGAACAGGTTCCAAGCCCTGTCCCTTGATTTGGTCGCACCGTTCCGTACATCCACAAGGCCATCCGAGAAGCAAGCCGAGAGCCTTTTACGCTGTGCACGAGATGTGCTACGTGCTTTGCTTTGGCTTGGCACAGGCTTTGAAGGACTGGTGCAGGAAGCGACGCCTTAGTGTCTAGGACATCAAACCCCAGTTTGCGGCAGGCATACTTTTCAGTTCTGTTGGATACTGGTAGCATGAACCTCTCAAAGGCACGTCAAGTTTCATTTGTTTGCCTAAAGCCGAGCCATTGGTCATTGGATGGTTCTCTCGTAGGATTGTTCATATGACAGGCCGCAGAAAGCTCGCTTGGTTCCTTGTCTGGATGAGACATGGATTCCGTCGTATCCCCTGCATGGGAGGCGATGTACTTGCTGGTCTGGCACATCGAGACCGACGCGACTTTCGTGCTTGGTACCGACAGCGAGGACGAGCAGGAAAGGATCACTGAAGACGTCCGGATTTTAGGTTCTCCCCATCACGACCTCATGGCCCGCAGTGCAAATCATCACTTATTAGACGGTGTTTACGGTGTTTACTTGACCTTCCACGATGGCTGAGCCCGGCGCTCGGAGGTCATCGCCAGGTCAGGTAGAGGTTTGGCTCATGAGCCCACAGTGAGACGTGGTGCGAGTAACAGCTCTCAGGCGCCCAGAAGCCCAGGTGCTTTCAAACTTCTGCGAGAGCTCCAACCATTCCAACCATTGTTCGATAGGAGATGGATTTCTGTGGCTTGTTGCTTTAGTGAGAGGCTCCTGCAGTCAGGCAAGAGAAAAGGGCTCCAAGACTAACTGCATTCTTAAGTATATATCCTAACACTCTTCCACCCTTCGTGTTTTCAAGCTGCTCACTTGGACATGCATTTTCTACTCCCTTGCCGTGCTTTCATCCAGTCTTGTCCAGAAGAACCCCAGGCCTTTTTGACCCTCCCGCCTCACCAAGGCAGGGCCCGGTGGCACCGTACGGAGCCCAGTGGATTGCTCGGTGTTTCCAACTGCGTTGCCATAAATCCACAGCGATTTCTGACGAAAGCCGCTGTCCGTGTGCATTTTGGCTCCTTTGGCTGTAAAGAGGATGGGGGAGCCGATTTTAGAGCGACCAAGCAGTCAACAGCCTCAGTTCATTCATGATGTTTTTTACACTTCACCTCACAATTTGTCATATCTTTGAAGCTTTGTGATTGCTCATGGCGGCAGAAAGGCACCCCGGAGCCAGAAGATTTGTACAGTTCTTCTAGACTCAACACTTGGGTCTTGGAGTCGACCATGCATGGGCTGAGCTTGACCAGCATGCAGCCCATCTTCCTTCCTGCACAACCGCTGGCAGCGCGGCCATCTGTTTCATGCAACTCACTTGATCGGTTGAAGCATCGCGGCTTCCCCACCTGTCGATTGGGAAGGCGTCGAGGTCGTGTGGCTCGATTCCATGCTGTTGAAAATGCGATAGCTGGGAAGAAGACCAGGCGCCTTGTGGTGTTTTTTGCGTTGGTCGTGAGCTATTCTTGGTATTATGTTTGCAGACTGTCGTTGTCTTATGCTGGACCGTCCATTGTGAAAAAAGAAGGTCTTGATCTTAGGACAATGGGAGCAATATTGAGTTCTGGGCAAATTTCTATTGGACTAAGCAAGATCATGTCCAGTGTTTTGACCGCAGACTTGTCCCCTTCTCGTTGTTTGGTCTTCGGCCTGCTGCTCACAGCTGCATGCAACCTCCTTGCTGCAGTGGTGCCAGCCACAAGCCCTACCAATCTTGCAGTGGTCCTGGCTGTGCTGTGGGCGATGAATGGCTTGTTTCAAGGCCTTGGAAGTCCTTCATGCGCTCGCATCATCAGTGCCTGGTGTAGCGCCAAGGAACGTGGCAGCTTCTGGTCCTTGTGGAACATGTCCAACAACTTGGGTGGAGCACTAGCGCCTCTGATGGTGAGTTTGGGCGCTGCGGCGGGCTGGCGTGGCAGTTTGCTGCTGGCAGGGGCAAGTGCAGCGTTCATCAGCATTTTTGTGGCTTTTCTGGTGCAGGATTCTCCAGATGGTCAGGTGGAAGCTGTGAAGTCTCACTCTGAAGGCATCCACCTCTCTGGTCTGTCGCTTTTATGGAAGGGCTGCCTTTTGAAACCTGGAATGGCCTGCCTGGCGCTGGCTAATTTTGTAGTCTATGGTTTGAAGAGTGCCATGATTTCTTGGCTGGCCTTCTATGTGCAAGCCCATGGCCATACCGCCTTGTCAGCTGCAGGACGTTTGAGTATGTTCGAGATTGGTGGCTTGTTTGGGAGCCTTGTGTCTGGCCCCTTGAGCGACAAGTATTGGCATCTTCGTGGTTCAGGAGCCCCATTGGTTGGCTGCCGCGTCCAGGTTGCATCTGCCAGTGTGCTTGCCATCCTGCTGCCTGCAATGATCACCGTCGTCTTTGGGCCTTCGCGCATCAGCTTCATTGCAATGTTCGCGGTAGGCTTTGGCCTTTATGTGGCACAGGCCCTTGCTGCTTTATCTGGCTTGGAGCTGGTAACAGGACGTGCAGCAGGGGTGTCTCAGGGTTTATTGGGATGGTCTGCATACACCGGAGCGGCGGCCTCTGGCTTACCCTTGGGTTGGCTCATACAAAGCACAGGCTGGCAGGCCTGGCGGATGGTGATGGCCGGGGGCTCTATGCTAGTTGTCCTTCTGTTTTTTGCCATTGTGGCGCCTACCGTCCAATGAGCAGCGGCAGCAAGGGGCCACTAAGGCCGCATCATGACTCATGACCATGCTTTTGACTCGTGCCACCGCCCAGTTGCTGCTTCGGGCAAAAAATTGACTGTGTTTCATGTCACCACACCATGAAATGGCTGTCATTATGCCTGCTGAGTGGATGATGGGTATACGGTATACCGTATACTGTACACACACACAACAACACAGAGAGAGAGATATACACACCAAATTTTGACCGAGACAGACTGTTTCTCTTTGAGAGTTCGCAGAAAACATGCTCAGAGGGAGAGAATCGACCCGACTAGCCCAGTCTTTTGTTTGCTGATTAATATGGTTTTGACTCTTTTGACGATGAGGCTGGTGCAGTTAAAGTCAGGACGAAACACGGAATTGATGTAGAGTTACTTGAAGATGTTGGTGCTTTCATGTCATAATTGCTGAGGTGGAGGAAGACCTGCCACCATTGGAGTCAATGGTGGAGGAAGACCTACCGCCACTGAAGTCAATGGTGGAGCAACAGGAGGCCCTTTCAAGATTGATTATTGACGGCTGATTAATGTTCTCGCAGCATTTCCCAGGAATCACCCAAACGAGGGAGTGGATCATGCATTTTGAGAATAGGCAGACTAAGAAAGGAAAAAAGGACAGGAGCCCTGAGCCTATTTTTCAATCAATTACTTCTTCGGCGTATTGAGAAGAAAAGGTGGATTTGGGGTCAGGTGAAGGGAGCCGAGCCACCAGACCAAGTTGGGTCCAACGGCTGTATGCTCAATGATTTCAGCTGCAACGAGCGAGGGGCTTCCGGGCTTTCGAATAGGTTTGGAGCCATTACTCATTACTCAATGCCTATAACTTATAACTATAGTAGCGAACATTGCTCCTAGTAGTAAGGCCAGGAGCCCTTAGTAGCGTCCTTGCTCCTAGTAGCGATGCCCTTTGCTCCTGGTAGCGAACATAGCTCCTAGGATGACCTGAATCCACGAGTCGTTTGTTGTGTAGGTCCTTGAGGTTGCACTTTGGAATGGGAAACAGTTGCCCAAATGACACATCCTCATGGCCCAGGCTATGGGGCAATGCACAGCCCTGCAGGCTGAGAAGTGACTGGGTGGCTTTGTGAGCTGGGCTTCAGGTTGTCACCATGGAAACAATTTATACTATATATGGTAGAGTGGAGGGCCAGTGGAGCTTCTCCATTCGTGAGGCCAGATGCCTATTTACATAGACATTGGAACAAAGAGCCTTGGGACTTTTGAAGCACAGCTGCAAGCTGCAGGAGCTGTTGCAAGAGAGAGACGTGGCATTCAGGTTTGAAGCCAAGACTCCGGGGCAGATTTTGTTTCAAGCACCATCTCAGAAGGCAGTAGGGCCGACACTTTTGTACATTTTTTGCGATGGACGTGTTGTGCCCTCTCACGGGTATTTTGGTTGTTCTCCTCCATTTGGTCAAGGATTTGCCATCCGAATCGAAGCTGGTGCAGCACTCGGCATTTAACCGCAGCATAGCATGCTTTGCACACTAAGCTAGAAAATGGCTAAGCACGGGAATGCAGACTTGGATGTGCAGGGAAGTAGAATAGCTAGCAGCTAGCTGCGATGTTGGAAGGCTGGCCTGCTGTGTCTTTGGTAGGGGGGGCTTGTCCAGGTCCATCTGAACCGATAGGTCGTGTCTGGGTCCAGATTTGTCAAACAAGGGGGTTTTGATGGGTTTGGGGGTTCTACAAATGAAAAAAGAACATCCTGTATATGTATATATATATATATGCGTGTGTGTGTGTGTCCACCCCTGGACAAAGGGTTTCGTCCAACTAATCCACTGGTCACCTTTACCACCGTTCAGTTCCACAGCAGGGGGACTGTCTACCCCACAGAAGTGACAGTCCAACGAAGAGGCTTCTGTGGCGGTACTGATATCAGTTCCGGACGCGGAACTGACGTACCTGCTTTCAACACAATGACTCCACTGGTCCACCCTGCCGCTGTTCCTTGTTTCCATGGTTCTTCATGCTACCACCCCCAAAACAGGTCTCTCAGCCACTTTCAGCAGCCGCGGTCTTTTGCAGCTTGTCGTCGCAGTCAAGGGAAACAACCTTTGTTCAAACACCTACAATTTC